ACACACACACACACACACACACACACACACACACACTCGCGTCGATGAAAATCCTTGTACAAACGTTCGATTAATAATAAACGCCGTTCTTCGCGGCACCTCGCTCGATAATTATCCCGAAAGAGTAGGATTCCCGTGTATGCGGATATTCGCGTATTTGCTGCCAGTGAATATTTGCCTCGTCGTTCGTCGTTCGAAATGATACGTAAATATGAATAATCCCGGCGTAATGAGGCAAAACTATTTACATCGTTATGATCTGTCGGCGAAATGTCATTGAGCTGCGTAACTGCAATGGCAAACGGAACAGTTTGCCAATGTTCGTTTCGCGAGATCCGAGGCCAGCCGAAAAAGCGATCGAAACAATGTGACATTGATTTTCCACGCGCGTTTGCAGGTACGATCTGATGATCGGCGTTGTCCGGTCGGAGGCGTATTTCGCTTTAACGGCGGATGACGCGCAATATGGGATCGAAGCTGACAGACGGACGAAGATTCTACGGGAGTTCGTGCGTAACACGTACACGTATCATCAAGCAGAGATCTTGGCGACGATAATCAACGAGTATACCGATTGGGAACGGCCTGTACAGCATCCGGTGAACATAAAGTGAGAGCAACTATTCAACTGTGCGACAACTTTTTTATTAAAATTCTAGAAAAGAAAGTGATATTGTGATAATTTTGCTTCCCTTCCGACTCTTACATTTCTGACGGAAATATTTCGGAGTGAACGATGCCATATTCATTCACCAAAATTTATCTATTCGAGTGTACGTACATATTTTGTGACGTTATTCCATAAAAAAAAAGAAGGTAATGATGTATGGAATAAATATCTTATTTGAGAATTAAAGACGCAACGAGCACGCATCTTGTTGGTTGATTCACGATATCACTATTTCTTTGCGATTTTAAGTTAAAGAGCAATAACTTCTGCTCAAGTCACGCAAAATTTCGCACATTCGTTTCAGAGTAATTTAAATTACTTGAAATAGATTTCAAAACGCAGGAAAATCTTCCTCTAATGTTTCTTCGAGACGCGATTCGCTGACGAATAAATAACAAGGATCCGTTCCACTAATCCTTTAATTTATTCTACGTGTTTTTCTTTTCAAACTTCCTCTCACATTCCACCGGCTGAATGGAAGCATCTCTCCCCTTTTTACCTTGCAGAGACGAAACCTTGGAAGCTTTGGGGGACGCGAACATCGTGGCACCGGCTACGAGAACGGCAGACCTTCACAGTCAATCCCATCGAAACTCCTACCTGTACGTGTTCGATTATCAGACCAAGTTCGGCGATTATCCTCAGGTACGTTAACAACGATTCGCTTTTTCCAAGGAGAACTGTTAAGCGTAAACGAGTTGAAACGAGTATTATTATTATTATTATTATTTTTTTTTTTTTTTTTTTTTTTTTTTTAGAGAGAGAGATAGTGCGAAATGGCTTGCAATACAATCGGTAAAGCCAGTCATTAACCCACATCTCGTACATTTTATTACTAACGATGATACATCGCGCCATTTCGTTCGTTCATATTTAAATCTCATTCTTCAGGCGGTGCATCCGTTTTCGCCGTGACGTATCGTGATTCAACGAAAGCAAAACGAAAGCCGGTCTCTTCTCTCCGTTGTCGGCACACGGGGCACGAAACTGTGGAAAAATTGCGTTTGCGCGGCAAACACTATCGCAAATCGATAAATCGCGTTTTTAAAGGACTGGATCCTGACCCCGATAAAAATTCTTCTGTTTTCTTTTTTTTTTCTTTTTTTTTTGTGAAGTCAAACATTGCTTGCCCCGCAAACGAAATATTCCGTTAATATAACGTTAATCAAAGGATAATAAACAAGGAAGTTGCGAAGAAACGCAAGTTTTCGAGTAAATATTTCACTTGAGAAACGGCGGAAACGACTTTCAAGAAATTCGCATGGTTTTGCATTGTATTTTGCAACGGCGAGCTCGTCTTTTGTAAATGGCGGTTTCGTGTTCCCCGCGGAGAGTTCATTCATTATTATAAGCACAAGCCCGACGAACGTGATGCAAATGAGATAAAATTTATTCCTCTGGTTAAATTGGGCAATCCGTTTCTGACGCGTTCCCATTCTCGGCGGAGACTTTTCGGAGATTTCCGCTGCGCGGAAACGAAACTGCCGATCTCTTGATCCGACATATTTCTTTTTACGAGCATCTGTATAAAAAGAGAGAGAAAGAGAGAGAAAAAAAAAGAACAGACGCGAAGAGAGATCAATAAAGGACGAAATAGGCAAATTATTTTAATAAAACACTCTGTGAAATTTAACAATCGAAAAATCCCAGTTATCTTCTTTGCGATGGAAAATTACTTAATTAAGAAATTTACTGTGAAAATTAGCAATCTCAGCTATTTGAAACGTTTCACAAAGCCGGATAATACATTCCATCTCGGCAAAAGGACGTTGAAACGAGCTTTAACTATTTTATTTGTCTCGCGGCATTCAAAAAATTGTGTATCTTTAATCACGAAGATAAATTGAACAATGTAAGTACCAAAACTGGAAAATCTTGTTTTTTTTTTTTATCGAAAGATATATAGTTTTATCGAACAGTTCAGTACATGTTCAACAATAGAAATATTGTGGTATAATTTCCCTTTGCAAATAACATAATAATTACGGATTTTTGTTGGAAAAATTGGAATACATATAATGGACAAAAATATACAAAATATTTAATGTAAAATATTTATTTAGATTCTGTTTCTTTGGTTATAATCGTGAAAAACTTAAAAATATGTAAAAGGCTACAGTGTAATGGTAATAAAACGACAAATAATAAGAAACGAATAAGAATAGAATGACATCACTGTTGGAACAATAAAACTGAAAACTCGCTTTTTATGGGGAAACGTCAATTTTTCAAGTTTAATATTTTGAAAGAGAATTTCGTTCAAAACAAAACATCAAAATCCAGAGTATACATTTCCACAAAAATGGAATCTTAAAGATAATTTATTGTGTACGTGTCTGAAACATTATAAATACCAAAAATTAAGTTTCTCAATTCAAATTTATATACTCTGCATTCTCAGTTGAAAATAAAGAGGAAATATTGCAAAATATTTTCTATAGAAGTAAGTCTAGCAGGAAACAAAATGGCACTTACAATGTTTGCAAATTTCAACGACAGATTGAGTTTTCCATGCAAGACTTACGGCACTCTGCAAGCCTCTCTGAAAAAGCAATTTTCTCTCTACTGAATTTCTCTCGACCATATTAATGCAAAAAGATAGAAAATTTTATGTTACATTCTCTTTTGCGTTGATTTATTCTTAGTCTCGTTTGTCGATAAAAACGAATCGAATTTCGTAAATAGCTTCCTCCTCCTCTAACAGCTTCATCCTCCCAAAATATTTGATGTTTCCAGTTCTTCTTGAGGTAATCAAATCAAAATCAATTTTATTTCCGTTGTTCATTCATTAATGAAAAAGAAGTAGATCTAAGCCGCGCGACAGCTTGAAATTCCGCTTTGAAGAAGCGAGAAAGAAACGGAGAGACGCAAGTGAGCGAAGATTCGCGGCAATTTCCTGAAGAGGTTGCTGTAGCTACTTTTGTCTAAAACACCACGATATTATAGTCTACGTTTTCAACTGAAGCTCAGGCCATGGAGCAGATTTTTTGCGCAGCCGCCTGTTGGCATCCCGGTTATTTTTTTTTTTTTTTTGTCTAATTATCTCATTTTGCGGATAAAACGTTGCACGAAAGGACGGCTCGGGAGAATTTTCGACACCAGACTGCAACTTTTCCCATTTTCCGTCGCACAAACTCGCAGAATACATACAATACGCGATACATACAATAAGCGGGCGATATCGCGCTGGGAAAACATTTCTGCGACCGTACATTCTTTAATGTAACGTTCGAGGAAAAATGTAATAAGCGGTGGTAACAGGTGGAGAAAAAACGATAGCAACGATGGAAGAATTTCCAGGATGAAATTATGTGCATAACGCGGCCGTGTGTTCGAAGTACGGGCAAAAATTTGGATTTAGAAAAATGTTTCATTTCGCCGGGCAAAAATTGAAATGGCCATGGTGTTTGCAAGATGAAAACTTTCTGTTACGCGATGTGAAACTCGCAATTTTGGCCTATCAAAAAATTATTTGCGCATATATATGTATATATTTCAAAAATGCTTATAAATGGTCATGTTTGAAACATGATTGTAACAAATTGTGACCACTTGTCACCAAATGATCATCGAACGTTAGGCAAAACTAGAGAAAAAATAAGAACAGCTGTTTATCGTCAGTGAAAGAACTTGCAAATTCAACTATTTATTCTTTCATTGTAGATATTAAATTTGTCAATTTCTGTCGACTGTCTTACCAAGAGGCGAGTTCAGTTAGGAAAACGAGCGACAGGTGAGAATTAAATAACGATTCGTCCACTAGACATCCTCTACGATATTCATTCATTGAGTTTAAACTTTTAAAAGAGAGATCTTGCAATCTCTTCTTACGGAGTTTTAGAAAACTTTGTGAACTCATTTGACGGAGCTGATCGATCGATTTAACAAATGAGGCGGGCGATTCAAATATTGTTGTCCAAAAATTTAGGAAACGAAGAATTCTCTCTCAATTTGAAGAAAAAAAATATCGATAATACATTCCACATGCCGTGGGTGGTGGGATGTTCGATCGTTCCCGCGAATCGTCACCGTATTAATCGTGATCCGATTTCTGAAACTCGCGTCCTTTCATCGCCGCTTGGAAAACGTCGAAGAACAGTTCGAAACTGTGGCAGATGAATTCCCCGGCGGCGATTATATTATTACCGCGCGCACGTGGCACGTTACACGGTATATATATCTTGGACGCGTGGGTTTCGCGCAGGAAGCGGATACGCGCGAGGGGAAATTGTAAAATTACGGTAGCGCAGCGACGCGCGAGATCGGTTGTGTGTCACGTTAGAACTCTGTGTTTCCGGTCGGAGTTTCGGTTCGCCGCGGATATACTCGGTTATCATCAACGCCGCCCGATAACGCTACCGATAATTTCCTGAACACAATTACGGCGGCAAGCGAGCGAGCGAGCGAGGAGCCGGTGATAGTCGTTATTTAAATGGAATTGAAAAAGGAAACGCGCGCGGCTCGATATGGGCGACGTTAATTGCGGAGAAACCGTGCAACCGCGCCCGGTAATGAAATTAATTTCGCTGCGGTGTCGCAGAATTGCAGAATTTCGAAGAACGTGCCGCTGTCGGTGGCGGCGTAGGAAGAGGACGACTTCCGGAAAAGCTGGGTAAACCGTCGGAAAATTATGCTTCGTGTAATACGATAATGTACGGCGTGTACCACGCGGTTCCGCGAAAGTTGACAAACAAATATAAACGCGTGAGGAGGTCTCCTGCGCTGATTTCGCGCGCAAGTAGAAGAAACGCGCATTGTTCGGACCAGGCGTCCAGTCGCGCTCCAACTAACAATAAAAGAACAGCGAAGAATTTGTGACATATGACTGGAATATGTGGAGGTTGCTCGATGAAGTTACGACGTACGTAGATGTAACGTAGGGATATTTAGCGGAAAATTTAGTGGAAGGAGGTAAAATTGTAAAATAAATGATCCACGATTAATGGACGTGTGAAAATACGATTGTCTAATAAGAATCACGTTTATTATTCTTTTAATACTTGCAATTGGAGTTATTTTCATACGTTTGTTCCACTAATTTTCGGAGTAAAAACAATTTTCGAGAATAATTTGGACGGTTAGAAAAAAATCTTTAGTGAAACTTACATTAGAGCGTGTCCCCATTATGTTCTAGTGGATTCAGTTGTTGCTCGAAATTAAGTAGTTTTAGTTAGCTAATATCATTATAGTTGATATAATTTATTTTTGTGTATTACATAAATACATTTAATTATATTTATAAATGTAACATAATATTGATATAATTTGGTGAAATGTTATTTTACCAAAAACGCAGATTCTAACGACACAATATGAACGTTTATTGGCACAGACTTGCTTCCCGAACTACGATTTTACGAAATTAAAATCAATAGTCTCATAGTGAATTAACAATTTTTATCTAAATTAAGTTCAACAATTTTAACGTAAATTCTCTTATTTCTGCGCACACTGGGCACACTGATGAAGTTCGATCGTTTAAACACGAGACATCCTGTCGCTTCGCATCCCCGTCACTTTTAACAGCGTGAAATAAACAATTGATCGTTAATGGAAACACGATCGCCAATGGGAGAGGGGTCGTTTGCCCTGACCGTTATTTACAACGGCGACCGAAACGACAGATCCAGTGACATCGTGGGTTTTGTCCCGGTAAACGGAGAAGAAAAAGGAGGAATTACGATCGAGAGAAAGGATTAATATTCAACGAATCCGCGCCTCGGGAGCCGAGGTAAAACGAGAAGCGTTCATCGATCGGTCATCGGCGGCA